CCATTTGAATTAAGCATTAAGGAAACTGGAAGAATTCGAATCGATGTGAAGGGTACCATCACACCAAAGGGGACAAGGTACGATATTTTTCATATATTTGTTGCAGGACCAAAACTGAACCAAGAAATATGCCTTAAATTTATGGAAAGAGGCAGCAAAAGAGAGAAGTAATAAGAAAAATAAGCAGCAAATAGAAATATAATAAATTATAATGTAGTTCACTGGTCTTTATGATGATGAAAATGCTGGAGGAGGATAATTGGAAGTGTCTGATCGTCAATCCGATGGCGGAAGGATAGATTGCAGAAATGACGGAAGAATTAAATGATGAAATGGCCGAAGAGACGGTATGTGATAATTTCCTCTAGTTCTCCTCAAATAAATGAACAAATTGTGAGATCGAAATAAAAACCGAATACATATGATAAAACGGCCGACCGAATCTCGGCATCCAAGCATAAATAACAAATAGCAAATTACAAAAGGAAAGCAATATGAAGTCAATATGAAGCTCTTATTCTTTATGCGTATCGCTCAAGCCAGCTTCTGAATAATTCTCGCTACTTGGAAAAGTAAGAAAAATAAAGTGGCTAGGCTTAGTTAATTCTTCTACAGTGATCTGCGAATGCCTAGCTTCGAAAAAAGTAGTCTCATCCTAGATGGATTTCATTTTCTAGCCTCATCAACATTTATTTGCAACATATTAGCGCCATGTCATGGCAAACATGACCTTCAAGGCAAGCTGGGCCTCTACTATAACACATTTTAAGATAGTAATGCCCATTTTTGGAAACTGCAATTTTATACTAGAATAACAATATTACTTTTAAGCGTGCTAAGTAGGCAGGTATTTTATTTAAAGTCTACAGATAGTCTCGAAAACCGACTCTTTACTAATACCATATAAGCTAACTATTTGTATAGACTATCAGTAGCCTTTGACTAAGAACTTGGGTAAACTCTAGGGCGCTTAAGATAATTTAAGGACTGCTGGATGAATTTCAGCCCAACGCTATAAATAGGCTTCAGAACGCCAACGAATTTTTCCTAGCCTTGCTTCCTATGAGTGAAATTTACTGGCATCATGGGGGCTATTCAGTTCACTGTAGAGTAATTTACCCAGCATTTCTTAAAACAGCTTACACAAACTAAGATGACAACAATATTTTTCTCTTATAAATAACGTCCAATAACTCAAGTTTAGTCTTGAGAATATCATATGGGGTAAATAAGATAACAGTGCAAACAAGAGAGTGAAACAACCATATACTCAAACATAAAGAATTATAATCAATCCTTAAGTAAATCAACCCCAATGCGCAAAAATTCATAAAATGTGGGCATAGTATACATAGCTTGTCGTTTGTAGCCATATAGAAACTAGAACTGGGACATTAAAATGAAACGAAATTCAAATCATGACAAGACTGTAAACTTCTTCCATTTTCCAGAAAGTTCTCCACCAAAACAGACAATCCAAAGTAGTTGTTTGTTCGATTTTTAGACAGCACTGTCCGCTTTCCTTACTACTCGATATGCTGTATGTTTTTCTATTATCTTTCATATAAAACTTTGCCCGCCAACGTTCGACAATTATGTTATATTCTAAATAAAATACTGAATTATGCTTTTGCTTTCTAAAGTCACATGCAGAATAATTCAAGTATTCAATGTTGACCGTGCATCGTTCATTTTAGCTAAGAACAGGGGATTTCTTTCGGGATAAGTCACTCGTTATGAGTGAAACTGGCAAATGCGAAATATGGTACCAATAAAGTACAGTTGATATAATAGAGCAAATAAAGTTCGAATCATAAAGAATGATAAAAGATAACATGAGTGGAGATAAACTTATGGAAAAAATATCAGTGGTTGATGTGTCAGTAACATATGAAAAAGTATACGGAAAATAAAGCAGCCATAACTACATAAGTTCGTGTTGCGAATAAAAAGAGGTGAAAATAGTGATGATAGTTATGCACTTTAATAAAAGCTCGCAGTATGCAAAAACTAGTAACAGCAGTTGAACAGTAAATACATGAAGGATAAATATGCTCAATAGTAGTAGATTTGAAATTCGTAAAGTGGTAAAAATTAAAAGAATCTCGACAATAAATTACTTAATAATATCCAGACCCTGGCTAGGAGTGAGCTTCAGACAGTGCAGCTTGGCTATTCAGTCTAGAAAGATCAGTAAACTAATAATTTGAGGCTCTGCCGACAGGTGGATGGTGTTCGAAACCCCCCGGAAAGGCAGATAATGCAGCTGAGTTGCCAGTGCCTTTAGCCTGACTGTTGTTGTTGTTGTTGTTAATGATGCTGTTATTGACGTAAATGGGCTGTGGCTGCTGGCCCCGAGGCTCGTTGTCCAACCAAGTCTGGTCTTGAGAATTTGGGTCATAATCTCTTATGGAAGCTGTATATCCATCCATGCCCTGCTCCTGCAAACTAAAAAAAGACCATAAAGAATGAAACTATGAGCATATGTGGCTAAAAGTTAGGCGAATAAAAAAAAGCGAATATTAGATCGGAAGAGTAAGATAATTTCATTAGTCGCAGACACTCAAATAAAAACATTTTACAAAGAGTGACCGTATTTTCTGTAAAAAACAGCGGTTAATGTTGACAACATAGAACGATCCTATCTCTAAAGTTAATCTAAGATGGAATTAATTCGCAAATTAACGCTCGCAACCAGTGTGGGAATGCGATAAGTAAGATAATGCCAAGTGTGTTGATCAGCCTTATGATTTCTATTTTAATGCGAAATTCAATAATAAAATAGGGAGGAACTTCTCATTATTGACAAATTATTGGTTTGACTAATGCCGTTTTCTTCCTCACCTCCGTCTAATTGACAAATCATTTTATATGAAAAAAAGTCAAGACACAGTTACATGCGTATGTACTTGAAGTTCTTACATTTTTATATTATACCTAACTAGACTGAAGATTTCCAACATGATTATTACAGAAATATGTCGATATTTTATTGTATAGAACTTGGATAAAACTATCACACAAAGACTCAAGCTTGAGTCAAAGCCTTTATTGAGCTTACTTCAATTTCAAGTGTAAATGTGTAATGAAGAGATTTGAAGGCCGATCCCACCACAAGGTGAAGGAGGATTCCCTTAGGTCAGCAGTTAGTTGGCTTTAGCGGAACATTCTTGTTGATACTGCATAGATATGCGTTTGATATGGTATAGACTGATTTGATTCGCTCAAAGCACACGTCAATCTAGGAGCATGTGCGTGTGTGCTTATAAGCCTAAATAAAAGTATGTTTGCGAAGCCAGCAGTGATAACTCCAAATAATTGGGGTGTAAGTTTGTCCACTTTTATCCATTATCCAGATTGCGTAATGCAAAATACATACCTAGTCAAATTTGTAAGCTTGCTGTCTCTCTTTGTGTGAGAAAGTCAACTATGAAGCAATAACAATTAACAACATGAGGCTAGCTAATTTGCGTCCTTCTTCTAGACGGCATTCCTGCGTATATTATCGATTTTAAATGACTCTCTAAGCCTAGCTACACATACCATACTCAGCAAAACGATAAGTTTGAGGCTATTGTGTTTCATGTCCTGCTTTTGTCATGAGTTCAGCTACCTCTGATCCTTGTTCCAATACTCTCTACAGGCAACATGTGTTTGGCCATACTTTTTCGAATGACACACCAAGTATGCCTAAAGTAAAAGTGACTATATCAACGCACCATTTTATACCAGCATGATCTAGATAAGTTGAAAACTTTCTCTATAAAAGTGGGCATAATTGAAGGAATTGCCATAGCCTACATCAAAACCATTTTCATTCCATCATTCACTACTAGTTCGTCTATCTTTTTATAGAGCACGCATGAAGACACAGTCGGGAGATACTGTAAACCAAAAAAGTCCTCAAAACCCAACTTTAAAAAAAATATCAATCTCGATATAGAGAGAATTAAGGCGTTTAAAAATTGTTTGATTAAAATTTAATGTATTTTTTATAAAATTTGATTTCACACCGACAACCACATTTTTGATAAAAATCGAAAAATTAGTAGAATATCAAGCCAAATTTCCTAAAGATAATTCCAAAATACCTCAAGTTATCCCAGGAACTTACCAAAAATAAAATATGATTAATCGCAACTTCCATAAAACATGGATACACAAGTTTAAAGCATATAATTATATTTTCTTATATTGTAGGCATAAACGATGTTATTTTGCGGCCATTTCTATAAGCATGTTAAATACTTTCAAATTAACTTATATTTTCTGTGTAACAATATTCAAGCATTCAAATAGCTTTAGTTTATAAGTAGGTTTCTAAGACTACCAATGTATCACATATATAGGGTGTATTCACCATACTTCGTTATTCATATCTGACCTGTGATCCAAGGGCACTAGTGACGATGTGACGCAGTGGTTAGTGTGTAAATTTTATACTCTGAACCGTCATGGTTTGAGTCCCAATGGGGGGTTAATACTAAGTGAGGTCAAAATTGCTGCCTACTCTAGCCGGTATAAAAATAACTCTTGCGAAAACAAAGCTGCGAACTTCATTCGAAAAATAAGGTCCACTCTTATTAAAGTAGGAAAATTCAAATACCATTCCAGCATCACCTTAAAGAAATTAGGGTGAATACACCTCATATCCCAAATATTTATATTAGGTCTGTCTATGTTAATGACAAATATGATCAACAGTATAATTTTGGTGAAAACTCATGGAAATCATACCATTTAAATTCAGAGAAACATTCATAATCCATCATTAAATCGTCTCAAAGCTTATAAACTTCTACAATAACCTAATTTATTAAAAAAATAAACGCTATCCAGCATCTTTCTATTTAATATGTAGTAAAATAAGATAGCAATGAAAAAAAAACAATTCCTCTTATGCAAAAGTTACTAGATTTCAAATAAAGCACCTATTTTGTAACTAGGAGAGCAAAAACCATTCATTCAACTAAAGGTTTTATCAGTATTAACGCAATTAGTTTGGCCCATTATTTGCTTCATGATATCAGAAGATGCTCATTGAATATAAATAAGGCGCCTTAGGCAATTCATATGGATCAGGAATTATTATCCTCAACAAGCGGCATTCTTATCCTGGGTGAATTGCATTTTCCCACCGGAAATGAGCATTTTGAATGATACGTTATGCAATCTGTCTAAATAAAGAGTCTATGGGACATTCTAGTGGGTTGAAGTCAACTGATAACTTTTATTTCCATTTATCACTAAAATACTTACATGCTGATAATTTAAGTCTAAGGGAAAATATTTACTGATACGTTCGTAAATAACAAATAAAAGAGAAGTGTTAAGAGTTCTGTGAATATTCGAACAATTATTATGCTTCCTAAGTGTATCTATTAAAAACTCGAAGTAATCTTTATTTAGATTACCAAAGTAAATTTTTTTCTTTCAAAATGAACAATCACTTATAGCTGTTTATTAGCGGCAAGCGTTTGACAATCTAGTAATTGGCTATTCAAATATAGTTAGACTGTTAGGACAAAAAACAGTTAATAACTCCTGATTTGACACATTTTTTGTGAAAAATAAATTCGTCATCGTATGCCTTATGGCATGATCTTACGGATATATTTTTAAAGAAGTTAAAAATTAAGGCTAAAATAAAAATTATAACCCTACTGACAAGTAACAAAATTAAACTTCTTAGCAGAAGTAATCCGTTGGTAAAATAAATAATATTTAATATAGAAGTCATTCAGAATACTTAACTGTCTCATACTTATATAAATAATAATTTACTTGTTACACAAAGTACCAGGCATTACGTAAACCCAACTGAGTGTTAACTGTTCCTAAAAGTAGTAAATGCTCTTATATTTGTCAACAGATCGCAGCAGTCATTAAAGGTAATATCATGGATTGGTAAAAGTTCTTTACTAGTTTTTTTAATTAAATCCATCGACCTAAATCTCTATTGTGAACAAAATTAAAGATCGAATTCGTTA